CTGGAAGTGGAAATTCCCAGGAATTTCTGCTGCATTTCTTAGGAGGGAGTTGGTTTATCCTGAGAGGCAGAAAATGACCCGTTTTTGGGACAAAATTCCAGCAATTCTGGAGTCTGTTCTGGGTTGTTTGCTGGGTTTCTGTGCCCACCTGTGGCCGGTGAGGTCTCAGGGTTTCCCTGCTGAAGGCAGAGCCGAGCTGTGGAGCCCGGAGGGGGTTTTGGCACAGGACAAGGTGCCAAGGGAACATTTCCTGTGCTTCCCCAGGTGCTCTGGCTCTGCCCTGGATCCAGTGTCTCCATCTGGAAGTGCTTGGGAGTGGGTGAGAACTGCTCTGCTCTGAGCTGTGATTTCAGCTCCGTCCCGAGCCAGGAGTTTGTTATTTATAGCCCAGGAGTAGCAAACTCTCACTGTACACAGGGGGCTATAAAATAATATTTTCTATTTGCTTTCCTGTGGTTTGATATTTCTGCCTGGGCCTGACGTGCGTCCCTGCCTCTCCTGAGCCCTGATATCCGAATTATTTCCCAAATATTCCCCTCAAAGCTCTGTGCCTGCCGTGCTTTTCCATCCAGCTGCAGTGCAGAGGTGCCAGCAGTGCTGGGGAGGGGACACCTGGTGACACCTGAAGTGACACCTGAAGTGACACCTGAAGTGACACCTGAAGTGTCCTGAGCAGGCAAACCCAGCCAGTGGAGAATTCCACCGTGGCTGGAGGTTTCATTCCCACCTTCTGCCCATGGAATCACTGTTTCAGGGCATTCCAAAGTTATTTTATATCTTCTTTTTAATCTATCTTTCTAACTCTAATAGAATTTTTATTCTCAGAGATCGGAATCCCTTGTGTGGCAACGAGTAAACAGGTGTTAGTTACAAACTAAACCACTGAAATTTCCTGCCATTTCAACCACAAAATCCAGTTTCATGGCCTGCCCTCATGGTTGATTTATTCATTCCCTGCATTTCCTCTTGCTGAAGCCTTTCCATCCCTGACCATCTTGTGGCTCAGCGTGCAGACAGGTGGCCAATCCTGAAATCCTGCCTGCCTTCCCTGGCTGCTGCTGCTGCTGCAGGGATCCGTGGCCCCGTTGTGTGTGAGGGGCTGCAGGACACAAAGGCATCAGCAGAAGGCTCAGCCAGGCTCTGCCCTGTGCCAAACCCTCATCCTGGGCTCCAGGCTGCCCTTTGGGCTGCTTTGTGTTTGCTGCAAACGTTTCCATGCAACCTCCCAGTGCAACAGCACGGTTTGGAGGTGTTTGCAGAGGAGAGAGAAATTTGTGTCCTGGGAGATTGAGCCCCTCGAGTTTAGTTTGGTTTGTCCTCAGTTCTGATGGGGGCTGTGTCTCTGTGCCCCCCGGTGCAGCTGAGCCCCCATTTTTGTGCTGGTTGCTGATTTTGGTGTTCCTCTCTCTCCCAGTTGAATTTCAACCCCATTCCCACACTGATTTTGGTGTTCCTCTAGCTCCCAGGTGAAGTTCAGCCCCATTCCCGTGCTGGTTGCTGATTGCTGTGTTTCTTTCCTTTCCCCCCCAGGTGAAGTCCAGCCCCATTCCCACACTGATTTTGGTGTTTCTTTGCCCCCCAGGTGAAGTCCAGCCCCATTCCCACTCTGATTTCTGTTGTTTCTCTCTCCCAGGTGCAGCTGAGCTCTGTTTCCATGCTGGTTGCTGATTTTGGTGTTCCTCTCTCTCCCAGTTGAATTTCAGCCCCATTCCCACACTGATTTTGGTGTTCCTCCTTCTCCCCAGGTGAAGTTCAGCCCCATTCCCACACTGATTTTGGTGTTCCTCTCTCCCCCAGGTGCAGCTGAGCCCCCATGGCCATGCTGATTTTGGTGTTCCTCTCTCTCCCAGNTGATGGGGCAGGAAGGGTGAGGTGTTTGTACCCCCAGGAAGCAGAGGAGCTGTTCAGAGACACCTGGAAATAGATTGTTTTTGTTGTTTTTTTTTTGTTTTTAAATGTCCCTGCAGTGCTTGCTGTGGGAGGAAGGAGCTGAGTGATAACTGAGTGTTGAGCTCTTCTCTCTGCTGAGCAGGGACAGCACCCAAGGCTGTGTCAGGAGGGATTTGGGGGGGATTGTGGGGATTTAGGGTGGATTGGAGGGAAAAGCTCTTCCCCCAGAGGGTGCTGAGGCACCAGAACAGCACCCAGAGAATGAGCACATTCCCAAGGCTGCCCTGGGATGGGATTTTGGGATGTCCCGTGCAGGGCCAGGAGCTGTGGGTGCTCCCTGTGGGTTTTGTGCTGTTCCAAAGAGCTTCTGGAAGTCTCTGTGCTGCTGTGCCCGGCTGAGGAGGAGGAGGAGAGCAGGGATGAGCAGGAACTGGGGGGCTGGCGCTGTTTTGGGGTTTTCCCTCCACGTTTTTAGGGCTGGAAAGGCACCAAAGCACCGGCTGTGGCCAGTGCCTGGGAATTCTGGGGAATCCTGGGAATTCCTGGGTGTCCTGGGAGGGAATTCTCTGGCTGCAGGCTGGGCTTGCACTGCTGTGATCGAGGTGTCGCTGGCCTCACAGCTCGGGGGAGTTTCAGACATCTGTGGAGTTTATAAAGTTTATTTTTAGGCATCTGTGGAGTTCACAAAGTCAGGATCATGGCAGGGATTAAACATTCCCATCTGGAAGGTGCTGCCTTGGCCATGCATGCAGCAGAACCCGGGAGGATCTGCTGATTTTAGACAAAATAGAGCTGAAATTTTCATATTTAGACCTCAGTTCAGCTTTTCTCAGCTCTGTTACAGATCCTCATGGGAAGTTCTGGGTCAGGATTTGGAAATGGCTTTGGGCACAAACACAAGGTTTAAGTTGTGCATTTGAGCCTGGGTCTGGTGCCACACTCGGGCTGTGAAAATTGATCCAACCTGTGATAACAGAAATCATTTCCCAGCAGCAGAGAGAGGCCTGGTGCACACCTGGGACAGAATTAAACACAGCAGAAGTCCAGAGGTTAATGTGAAAATGGGCTGATTTTGGAGATCAGGGGTCTTGTAGGGTCAGTAACGTTGGTGAAAATACTCTGGGGTGCTCAGGGTATGAACACTGAGTTTGATGGCATTCAGGGACACCTTGGGTGCTGTCATGCAGGTGAAACCCCTGCCCAGGATTTCAGAGGGGACAGCCCCTGTGTCCCAGCAGGGCACAGCTGGCACTGCCCCCGTGCTGGCACCAGCCTGGCAGGGCCAGCAGAGCTCTGCCCTTCCATTCCCTGCCCTTTTCCCCTTTTCCTGTTCCAAAGCCGAGCCCTTGAAGGGAGCAGGGAGGGAAGGAGCTTTTCCTGTCTCATCCCTGTTTTCCTGCTCCATGTTCCCTCTCCCTGCACTGTTCCTGGGCACTCTTTGGTGCTTTGCTGGCCCCANAGGGGCTGGGATGGAATTCCAGGGAAACTGGGGCTGGAGCACCCTGGGATGGGGGAAAGTTTCCCTGGATGAGGGGCTGGGATGGAATTCCAGGGCAGCTGGGACTGGAGCACCCTGGCATAGGAGAAGGTGTCCCTGGATGAGGGGCTGGGATGGAATTCCAGGAGCACCCTGGGACAGGGGAAGGTTACCCTGGATGAGGGGCTGGGATGGAATTCCAGGGAAGCTGAGGCTGGAGCACCCTGGGATAGGGGAAGGTTTTCCTGGATGAGGGGCTGGGGTGGAATTCCAGGAGCACCCTCTGGGATAGGGGAAGGTTTCCCTGGATGAGGGGCTGGGGTGGAATTCCAGGAGCACCCTGGGATAGGAGAAGGTGTCCCTGGATGAGCTCCAGGGCCCATCCCAGGTGTCCCTGGATGAGCTCCCAGGTCCCTTCCAGCCCACCCCAGGATGCCTCAAACCCAGGATTTGAAGGGATTTCCTTTGGGATTTGCCCCTGGCTGGCAGTGCCAGTGACAGGGGCTCTGTTGTGCCGGGGCAGAGTTTCATCTTCATGACCGTGGTGTACTTCGGGCCGCTGACCTGCTCCATCATCACCACCACCCGCAAGTTCTTCACCATCCTGGCCTCCGTGGTGCTCTTTGCCAACCCCATCAGCCCCATGCAGTGGGTGGGCACCGTCCTGGTGTTCCTGGGTGAGTCTGGGGGCAAAATCCAGGGGGTCCCTGCCCTGGGAGCCCCTGCAGGACCGGCGGATCCGTTCAGTCCCTTCCTTACAGCTCATTCCATGGGTAAATGTGGGGATGTTGAGCTGATTTTTCCCCCCAATTCCCATCTCCCTGCTGGTCTGAAGAGCTCACAGCTGCTGTTTTGTCTCCTGCCAGGCCTTGGGCTCGATGCCAAATTCGGGAAGGGGGTGAAGAAGACGTCGCATTGAGGGTGATCCCGCAGTTGGAATGAACTTTTAATTTATTGTCTTGTACCTCAGAATCTGGTGTGGAACTGGACTCAGGACAGGGAATCAGAAGGAAAAACCGTGTGGAATTTATTTTTGGGTTGAGTTTGGTTTGGTTTTTTTTAATTCTAAATGGTCTCTAAAATGTAATCCTTTAGTTTGAGGTGTAATTTTGCTTTTTTTGTGTAATCAGAGCTGCCCCCCTGAGCCGAGCAGCAGCAGCAGATCCTTGCCTTAACAGGAAAACACAAATCCTTCCTATCTTTATTAAAGAAAACCAGACAATGGCTGCTTCTCCAGGACTTTTGTTGGGGATTTGGCTGATTTGGGGGGGACCCAGGTGTGCTTTCCAGGGAGGGAGAGGAATGATCTCAGCCCTTTGGGGTGATCCTGGGATTAAAGCCTTGTTGGAGGCACCCCCTTCCTCGTGGGGTTTTCCTTGGGTTTTCTCAGCAGGGAAATGCTGAATGTGCCTCAGGAAATGAGAATCCCCCACATTTGGGGCAGCTCCTCTCCCATGCCCTGGGATGCCCAAGCAGGAATTCTCTGGGATTCTCATCCCTCCCAAAGAGCCTTTGGGATGTTCCTGCCTGGATCCAGCTGTCCCTTGGAATAAACCCCAAAGGAACAGGGTGGGATTCAATGAATTTCCATCCCCTGCTGCTTAAGGCACTTTGGGAGAGGGACAATTCTGTTCTGTGGGTTTTGGGCTCTGCTGCTTTTTCCCATCCCAAGGCAGGGCAGGATTGGGGAGAAACATCAGGAAACTGCTGCCAGAGCATCCAGGGAAGGGCAGAAGGGATTTTGATTCCTGTTGGGTTTATTCCCTGCAGGAATGACCGAGGGAGCCCCATCCAGCCCTGGGATCCTGGCAGCTGTCCCAGGGTGGGGCTGGATGGGATTTAATTCTGTGATTTCCAGTGTAAGTGCACCCAAAGGACAAACCCCAGTGCCCCGGCTCCCCACAGCTCCCAGGGCTTCACCTGTCCCAGCTTGGCCCAGACTTTCTCCAATTTTAGGGATGCAAAAAATCCAGGGAAATCAAAGATTTTGGGGTTTTTCAGCGCTGGGAGCTCCCTCTGCCTGTGCAGCTTTAGGATCTCTGTCCCAGCAGGGATTCTGGGGCAGGAGTGAAGCTCTGGAATGTTCCGGGCTGGGCAGACATTCCCAAAGGGAACACCAGGGGTTGTTCCCCCACGGAAAACAGGAGCGGAGTTTGTTGGAATTTCTGAACCCATCCCGCTTTTCCTCCTTCCCAGCTTTTGTTGGCTTCACATCCCAATCCAGCCACTCTGGCTGCAGTTACCGGCAGGGGGAACTCTGCTTTAACCATTCCCAACCAAGGCCGGGAGAAACCCGGCAAAAAACCAGCAAAAAGCGGCTCCTGTGCCACCCCTGCTCCAGCCGTGCTGCTGGAGCCAAACCCTGCGGAAAATCCGGATTTTTTTCCCCATTTTCATTGTGGTTAATCCGGCAGAGCCCCCTGGAGCTGGGTTGGGAGCTGAAATCCTGCCCTGGGGATCATTCCTGCTGGAATTCTGCAAGGGGATCATTCCCACTGCAATTCTGCAGGGGCATCATTCCCGCTGGAATTCTGCCTGGGGGAGGGATCATTCCCTCTGGAATCCTGCCCTGGGGATCATTCCTGCTGGAATTCTGTCTGGGGAAGGACCATTCCCTCTGGAATTGTGCTTTGGGGATCATTCCCACTGAAATCCTGCCCTGGGGATCATTCCCACTGAAATCCTGCTTTGGAGATCATTCCCACTGGAATTCTGCAGGGGGATCATTCCCGCTGGAATTCTGCTTTGGGAACCATTCCCATTAGAATTCTGTCTGGGGAAGGACCATTCCTGCTGGAATTTTGTCCAGGGACCATTCCTGCTGGAATTCTGCTTTGGGGGTCGTTCCCACTGGAATTCTGCTTTGGGGAAGGACCATTCCCGTTGGAATTCTGCCTGGGGAAGGAACATTCCCGCTGGAATTCTGTCCAGGGAGGGACCATTCCCACTGGAATTCTGCAGGGGGATCATTCCCACTGTAATTCTGCCTGGGGAGGGACCATTCCCGCTGGAATTCTGCCTGGGAACCATTCCCTCTGGAATTCTGCTTTAGGGACCATTCCCACTGAAATCCTGCCCTGGGAACCATTTCCATTGGAATTCTGCTTTGGGGAAGGAGTGTTCCCCTTGGAATTCTGCCTGGGGAGGGATCATTCCCACTGGAATTCTGCTTTGGGAACCATTCCCGCTGAAATCCTGCTTTGGGGACCATTCCCACTGGAATTCCGCCTGGGGAAGGACCATTCCCGTTGGAATTCTGCTTTGGGGACCATTCCCATTGGAATTCTCCCAGAAATCTCCGTCCCAGGCCGGGAAGGGGAGCTGGCACCGAGGAGCTGGGCCCGGCTCCCGCAGGGGGAATTTGGCAGCTCCGCTCCCTCTCCTTTCATCCCCGCTGCTCCTCCTGCAGCTCCAGCAGCTCCAGCAGCAGATGGCTCAAAAAAAAACAAACAAAAAAACCCCCAAATGTTTGGAGAGGGAGGTGGAGGGGACTGAAATTTTGGATGTTTTGTAGGGATGGAGATAATCCTGTACACGGGAGAGTAAAGGTGGCCAAGGAATTGCTGTTATTCCCATGGGATCCTTTGAAATACCTCGAGGATGCTTTGGGGACAGCAAGGAGAGGTTTCCAGGCTGGTGAATGATTTGATGGTTTGATGATTCGCTTCCCTGCAGGTTTGGTTTAATTGTCCCCACATGGAATCAAATATTGGGATTTTCCCCTTCATGAACTCCCAGTCTGGAGCCCCCAGGAGGGACCTGGAGGCAGCCCTGGGGCAGGAGCAGAGGCCTCTCCCCGTGGGCAGCAGAAACCTCTGCTCCCAATGTCCCAAACCCTGAATATTCCAAGGCCATAAACCCCTCGTTGGGTAATTTGTTTTGTGGGAGAACAAAACCCTGGAATGGTTTGAGCTGGGAGGAACTGGGCTCCCCGAGGATGAGCTCCTGTTTGAGGGGGAAAACTGCCTGGGGATGGATTTGGGGGATTTGGGGACAACGCTCAGGGCCCCCCATCCTGCAGGTGCTGAGGTGTGGGGAAGGGGGAGCAATCCCACAGCAGGATCAGGTTTTAATGAGTGTGGGATCAAAAGCAGCCTGGAAAACAAGAGCAGCCTCATCAGGAGCCGCCGCTAACGAGCACCAAAGCCCGCTCAGGGCTGGGGGAGCTGCTCGCTCACCGTTGTCAATTTGAGGGCTCAGTTCCTCCTCTCCTCCAAAATCAGCTTTGATGCCTCTCCAATCCAGGTAAAAATAGCAACCCAGCAGATTCCCTGCGAGCGAAACCTCCAGGGCAGGGTTTGTTTTAAGCGGTGTTTGTTTTCTCCCAAACAAAAGTGGCTTTTAATCATAGCAGCCAGGACTGAGGGGAGGCTTCTGGTGGTGCTTGGGAAGGAAATCTGGGTGGGAGATGTTCAGAGCAGGGAGCTGGGGATGGCTGAGGAGGGAGCTGTCCCTGCAGAGCAGCAGGAGTTCCCTCATGGAAGGGCTGGGCTGGCCCCTGTGAGTCTCAAATCCCACAAAAATTTGGGATTTTTGTGCTTCCATCACACAATTCCAGAGTGGGTTTGGGTTGGAAGGACCCCAAAGCTCATCCAGATCCATCCAGGGCCACCTCACACTGTCCCAGGTACTCCAAACCCAATGTCCAGCCTGGCCTGGGACACTGCCAGGGATCCTCTGGGAATTCCATCCCAACCCCTCCTTCCCCTCCCAAGGAAGGAAAACCCATCTGAAGGAAAATCCTGCACCCCTCTGGATGCCTGCCTCGAACCTGGAAGGAGCCAATTCCCCCATTCTTGTCTAGACATACATAAAACCATCAATATTTCATGTATTTCTGTAAGACACACCGATATTTTATTTACACACGAAAATAACTGCTTAGCCTCTCTCTGCCCGAGGAGCTGCTGAAGGTGGGGATATTTCCCTTCCCCTCCTGCCCTGTGGATCCACAGGGAAGGG